AGAAATGGCTACACCAATTGGTGGAAGTAGATGAGACAATACTAGGAAGAAATCCAAGAAAGACAAGCAACAATTAAAGCACAATTTTGAAAAGTTAGCACACAAAAGGAAACCTAACAATGGCACTAGAATAGATCACAAAATAAAAGCTAAGATTATAAAGTAAAATAAGACTCAAACAATGTATATGTGGCTGGACAGAAAATTGAAGACAAGGCACACCAAATTTTACCAAAATCGAGAGCAATATTTTACCGAATTTTTTCACTCCTTGGCTTTTTCTTGTGTTCTTTTCTTTTGATTTCTTTTGTGAATTCTTTTGTTCTTTATTTTTCTTTGTTAACACAGGAGTCTAATGCCTTTTAATGAAGTGTATGTCTCGGATTTAACTAATAAACTGCTGCCAAAATATTTTCACAAAACAAGAGGTGTTCACATGCATATACTAACTAGTGCTTCACAATTTTGTATTATTTTTAGGTCAAATTTTTAGGCACTATTTTCTTTTGTTTTTCTCATGCAATAAGAACACATACACCTCTGTTTTGTCTCTGTTTTGATGCTTTAAAAATTGATATAAGTTTTAGCCACACACAAGACTCAAAGAAACCTAATAGGAATTAGTGTTTAACAAATTTTTTTTTGACAAAACTTTTAACAAGACATAAAGGAAACCTAACTCTAGGAAATTTGCTAGAACTAATAGAAAATTATGAACTCAATCATATAAAGCAAAAGAACATTTATATAGGTTCAGATTTAATAACAAAAAATGACGTACCAATCAATGAATGAAGAACAACACAAAAAAATTAGGTCAACAAGCTAGTCTAGGAATTTTTAACATACAAAGGACTACACATGACTTTCTAAGACAAAACAAGTGATTCAAAAAATAAAACTAATGCAATATGAATGTTGTCCAATCACAGACACATGTTAAGGAATGGAGAGACTCGAACAATTATCAAAATCACACAAGAACAAGAGTCCTAATAGCACAAACCAAATTGATTCACAAGAATTGGAAGCAAGCAAAATATGAATCAATTACTTCTCATGAGACATATAGGATCCATCAATGTATGAAATAAAACTAGATCCATACAGCAAACACATATTAAGACATAAAAAAGGAAGAGTAGACAACACGGATTCAAGTAGAACAAGTTAGAGACACAAAACCTCAAGAGCACCAAAGCTCTAAATACCAAAAATGATGGAAGCTAGACGAAGACTGGTTGTTGAATCTCCATAGCTCCACCTTAATTCGACCTTTGCACCTTGAGGTTGATGGATTAGAAGCTTGAAACACCTTTGAAGAACCTTCAATGGTGGAGAAGCAACTGGGATGGTTCGGCCACTTCAAGAAGCTTGAAGAAGCTTGAGGAACCTAGTTCAAAGGTTGAAAACCATTGAAGAAAAACCTAAAGGAGAAGCTCCATGGTTTTAGAGACTTAAGAGAAGAGAGAATTCTTAGAGAATTTCTGGATTCATTCATCAAAAGTGAAGGTTTAGGTCAGATTTACAAATATATAAGGAGAGGTAGTTGTAGTGTAAGCTAACCTTAACCATGGTTCACTAGGAACCATGGTAAGGTTTAGCCTAACCATCCATGGTTTCTAAAACTTGTAGGAGAAGTTAACCTTGACCATGGTTCACTTAAGAACCATGGTAAGGTCAGCCTAACCTCCCGGGTTTAGAAGCTTAGAAGGCAAGCTTCAAAGCTTGAAGGAGAAGGCTAAAATTCGGCCAAGAACAAGGTGAAGAGCTAGGCGGCCAAGACTCAAAAATGCTCATTGATTTATTTCAAAAATATTTGATTTGGTTTAGTTAGGTTCATAAAATGATGATGAGACCTAGCAAAATCAAATCTATGAAAAATTAGGATCAAAATGAGTCTAATATGTAAAATTTTGCCTAGGCCCAGTTCTGGCCCAATTGCTAGTCACACCCTCAAGCATTGCTAAATACCACCCCTTTTTTCCTGCTGAAAAAATATAAAATGAATGTATCAACAAAGGAGGTTAAATGGAGTTAAACTCTCCAAGTAAGCTACCCTAAAATCAATATATAATCACTAATAAAAGCAAGTAAAGTGTCTCTCAAATACAAAGACAAAAATAAGCCTATACAAAGAGACTACTATATGTACAAACATATGAAAAGGTCTTTAAGATCATCCCATTCCCCTTGGTTCTTTTAAGATATCACCTCTTGGATTCCTTGATGTTGGCCATAGTCTATCAATTCTATTTCTCATAAAAGGTTCAGAAGTGATTAAAAAGGTAGAAGGAAGGTTTATATAGAGTAGGGAAGCTTGTGGAGCAAGCTAGGCTAACCATGGTTCACGAGAACCATGGTTGGCTTAACTTGACCGTCCACCATGGTTTGGGAGGCTTGTGGAGCAAGCTTTTAACTTAGAGGCTTAAGAAGTAAGCTAAGTTAGAAGCTTGTAGCACAAGCTTCCCAAAGGTGCAAGTCACTTAGTGAATCCTGCCAAAGGTAAGCTAGGTGGACAAGGTGCCTTGTTTCCATATTCGTCCAAATCCAAAAAGTTGGAATTGGTTTAGTTAGATGCACCATATGATGGTGAGGCCTAGGTAAATAAATTCCTCGGAAAATATGGAACAAAACAAGCCTAATATGTAAAATTTGGCCTAGGCCCAACTTTGGCCCAATTACTAGTGGCACCTACCTTCCTTATTATATGTCATCCCACTTCTACTACTGAAAATACAAACGAGTGACCCTTAATACAAGGTCAAATGGAGCAAAATTCTCCAAGTAACATACCCTAAATTCATAATAGAATATCCTATAAAGAAAGAAGTAAAGTGCTTTACAAATACAAAGGAAAAAATGAACCTATACAAAAGTTATGTACAATTGAGCTATAGGCCTTCTCTTCAAGATATGATGACCCATGTGAAGTGTAGCTTGGGCTTAGAGAGCCCACTATCCTCCAAGTTCGTCATTATTTCCCGTATGCTCCTAGCCATAACTCTGGTGATTGGGCTCTTGGCCCATAGTCCATCACTTTGCACATTTCAAGATATCTATTTTTCCTTTCTCTATTGGAAAGCAAATTTTATTCCTTTATGAAATACTAGTACTGAAAGAAGATTTTATTTATTCGATATGTTAAGGAATATCAAAGAAACAAATGATATGGTCATTAGATATAATAAATTTTATATTTAGTTCATTTTTATTAAACAAAAAAACATATCCATTTGAAAGAAATATCAAAAGACATATCATTATAAAAAGTTCTCTTAAACTATCATCATAAATGCATGATCTTGAAAACAAGTCTTTAACAAAAACATCTAAATTTGTTGACATTAAAATATTTCTTTGTGAGGAATCTAAGATAATCCTTTCGCCTATCAATGTGTTTAAATCACATCATTTTTTAATTCTTATTCTAAAGTATATTAGAACACAAGACTCTCACTGTTCTCAACTACCATTATGAGACTCTTATTAGGAGTAGATAAATTGAAGAAATGTAAGGCATTAATTATATATATATATA